TCTCTTTTAAATTTTAATTTAAGTGTTGTCAATGTGGTACTTTTGTTTTCGTTATTTATTCTCACAGTTAACTTATGCACGTGAATAGTGTTCATTGCATATTATTATTATTATTTCTTATTAATACTTATTTCTAGTTTATTTATTTATTATATTAGTACATATTTTATTATTTATATAATATTAAAATAATTTTTAATATAAATTATGATAGATGATCAATATGTTTCTTGTTCTTCAGATGAATATGAAAGTGCTGGCAGCAACAGCACATCACTATCTGACTCAGCACCGCTTCCAGATAAACTCACTAATGCTTTAAACGATAGATCGGCTTCTCTCTCCTTAGTGCATATCAACGCGCAGAGTATACTTGCTCATTATACCGACTTTCTCGCATCTTTTAGTACCGGCGTAGTTGACTGTATACTCGTGTCTGACACCTGGCTTAAACCATCATTACCTTCCACTAGTTGCGCTCTCCCAGGTTACAAATTATATCGTAATGACCGCTCTGGCCGAGGTGGAGGTGGCGTAGGTATCTACCTTCGCTTCAGCCTTTCTGCCAGAGTTGTGTCTTTATCCCCTCAAAATCCCTCAGGATCTCTCGAGTATCTCTTCTTAGAAATTACTGTACACCATAAAAAAAATTTGCTTGGAGTGCTTTACTGCCCAAATGACAAAATTAATTACTTTACTGACCTAGAGTGTATATTTGACAATCTTGTAACTCTATATGATGAAGTGATTTGCATGGGTGACTTAAACACTTGTTTACTAAAAAATGACACGAGAGCCCAAACGTTACATGCACTAACTGATTCTTTCAATCTGCATATTCTTCCTTTGTCTTCTCCCACCCACTATTTTCCTAACTGTAGGCCTTCTCTTATTGATTTAATTTCCGTCTCGAGGCCTAATCTTGTAATATCTCACGGCCAAATGACTGCCCCTTTCTCTTACCATGATTTAATTTACCTATCATATAAACTGCGTTCTCCAAAGGCTAGAGGCAAAATTCTTTTCCAGCGCGACTTTAGGCATATGGATCTGGAACGCTTAAGAGAGGATGTGAAGAATTGCAACTGGTCATCTGTATTCTCATCAGATAATATTGACAGTATGGTTGAGTCATTAACTACTGAACTGATTAGACTTTACGACATTCACGCCCCGGTAAGACCAGTTCGCATGAAGCAAGCTCCAGCCCCTTGGTTAACACCTCTAATCAGGAGAAATCTAAAAACAAAAAATATCCAACTGAAGAAAATCTTTCTGCATACAAAAAGCTTCGTAACATCTGCAACAGGATGTGTAGGGATGCCAAACGTCGGTATATTCATACCACAATTCAGGGTCTCTCCCAATCGCAAGTTTGGAGATTCCTCGAGTCACTTGGTGTGGGCAAGAACCCGAATTCGGGCGAAGTCTCGGTTGACCTCAATAAACTAAATTGTTATTTTGCTACCCCACCTTTAACATTAAATCAACAAATCAAATCTGCTACCCTTAATCACTTATCTAGTATTGTCCCACCAGACTCGTTCTCTTTTTCTTTCAAACCAGTCTCAGAAGATGTCATTAAGAAATGTATTCGTTCCATCACTACTAAAGCCATCGGTAGTGACAACCTCAGTCTCGACATGATTCTTCCTGTATTGGACTGCATTGCTCCAGTTTTCACCCACATCATAAATTACTCACTGACCTGCAATATTTTTCCAACACAATGGAAGAATGCACTAGTCGTACCCTTACCCAAAGTCCCAAATCCATCCAGCCTCAATGATTATCGTCCTATATCTATCCTTCCCATTCTATCCAAGGTCCTTGAATCTATTGTCCATAATCAACTTTACTCCTACCTTACCTCCTATAATCTATTATGTCGTTACCAATCTGGTTTTCGTCCCTATCACAGCACTGTTGGTGCGCTGCTGAACATCACGGAGGACATTCGGTACGCTATGGATAACACTAAGCTTACTGTGATGGTACTTCTTGACTTTAGTAGCGCATTCAACTCTGTAGACTTCGACATCCTTCTTGGCACTCTTCGCGCAGTTAACATTTCCCCTGCGGCTACAGACTGGTTTAACTCATATCTCTTCGGGCGTCGCCAGTGTGTGAGAGCTAATGACACTTCATCAGTGTGGTTGGATCTCACGGCTGGGGTCCCCCAAGGCGGCGTTCTTTCACCACTGCTCTTCTCTATCTTTATTAATAATATATCTCGCGCCATATCTTCTCCCTACCATCTGTATGCAGACGATTTACAACTCTATCGTCATTGTGAGTTGAACGATTTGCCTGATGCTATTCAAAATTTAAATAATGACTTAATCGCTATTCAAACTTGGGCCGAATCTTTCGGTCTCTTAGTTAATGCAAAGAAGTCTCAAGCAATAATTATTGGCAGCAGCAGGTTAAGGTGCAGAATAGATTGGAAATCAGTGTCTGCGATTACTTACTCTGGAGTTCCAATTCCTTACTGCAATAAGGTAAGGAACTTGGGTCTCATTATGGATTGCAATATGACTTGGACACCTCATATCAATGAAGTTAGTAGGCGTATGCACTTCACTTTCCATTCTCTTAAGCGTCTCCAATATTTTCTCCCCTTCAAAACCAAAGTTATGCTTGCGCAATCTCTTCTACTACCCATACTCGACTACGCCGATGTATGCTATTTAGATGTGACAGAGGAGCTACTGAATAAACTTGAGCGTCTCCAAAATCTCGCCATACGCTTTATCTATGGTCTACGCAAGTATGATCATGTCTCCGATTTCCGAGCTCAACTTCAATGGCTCCCTATCCGCCTTCGCCGTGATATGCACATCCTTTTGTTTCTATTTAATATTCTTCATAATCACAATTTTCCTTCTTACCTTCGTTTCCGGTTCAACCTGCTTCCGACTCCTACACGTTCCAGGCGGCCCTGCATCACATCGATGCTTGAGATACCGACAAGTAACACCAAGTTTTTACAAAACTCTTTCTCGGTACGTGCCGCAGTGTTATGGAATAAACTTCCTAAAATCCTACAGGAGAGCCCTTCTACAGCTGTGTTTAAAACGAACATAAAAAAGCATTTTCTAGCTCAATCTTGAACAATATATTTTTCTGTTTAACATTTATTTGCATATGTATGTTTATGTATATATTTATATGTACGTATATATTTATATAGTTTTAGTATGTATTAGATTACATGTTTATATTATGTATCTATAATTGTATTTATGTATTTATGTTATATAATATGTATATAATTAAAATATGTATATGTTTTTTATATTTTCATATATGTATATTAATGTATTCATATATTTAACTTTTATTTATGTGTCATACTTATATACTTTACTATAACAAAAATTCTGCACTTTCTCTTTCTGTCCCGCTATTTAACACTATTTCCCACATGCATGGGTTGACTGGAAGAGATCTCTTATAGAGATAAGTCCACCTTTGTCCACGTCACTTTCTATGTATTTTGTTTTTTTATAATTTATTTGTGCAATAAAGAATATATATAAAATGTAATAGAATAATTTTTCAGATTTTAGACTTTTTTTAATTCAATAATCTAATAATCTTTTAACAGTAACTCGTGTCACGCTCCGTTTTGCTCTGTATTACACAAAGCATTAAAAATTGTAAAATTGCGCGTTATATTTTTTGGCTCGGTATCCAAACATTTATTGTAGGCGGATGAAGTAATTAATGTATTTGAAATATAAAACTTGTGTCTATTATATTAATCTATATATATATATATATATATATATATATATATATATATATATATATATATATATATATATATATATATATATATATATATATATATATATATATATATATATACATAAAAGACAAAAGTGATTGACTGATGTATCAACGCACAGGCTTAAGGCTAGAAAATTGAAATTTCGGACACGTCTTCCTCATATAAGGAAGGCATCCACATTGAAGGATTTTTCAAAATTCAACCCCCAAGAGGGTAAAAAGGGGGATGAAAGTTCTTATGAAACCCACTTTTTAGAGTGTTTTTGTAGTTTTAGTGCGAGCGAAGCCGTGGGTTCTGCTAGTAGGATAATAAGATTTAAATTGATTAAGAAATGGCCCAAAAGAAACTGAAGTAAACAGTATGTGTTAATAAGTAATATTAATCATTTAGTATTACAGTTGTAACAGTCAGATTCGACTGAGCATTACAAAAGTTAAATTCCAAACAAAGCATTTTCTTACTTGCCACTTATTACTCCAACTTTGCCGAACCATAGCGGTATTGTGGTATTAAAAACTTTTTTCATTACAAGAGCTTATTGAAAATAACATTGTCACGAGAGAGCATATTTTATGGCATTTCTCTTAAGTCGAGGGGTTCAAGAAAAAAATGTTGGCTAAATTACCGATGTTTTACTTGACCAAAAATAACTTGAGACAAAATTTATACACTTAGTGAAAAGATTTAACTATTAGCTTTCCCTATTTACGGTCGTCAATTTTTTTACTGAGTTTTAACCTTTATTAGACGTGCAATTCATGTAGCTATTGTATATTAATGTCATACTAAAGCTTCTATAAGAAAGTCAAATTCATATTCAATACCTATATAAGTTTAGATCTTTATTGTAAATATAAATAATAAAAAAAATTAAATATATTTACATTTATATTATCTATATATTGTAAATATATATATAATATAAAAGTAAATATATTTAATTCACTAAAAGATTAGTGAATTAAATATATTTTTTCATATTATCTCTCATATCTATATAGTTATTGCTCTTCAGCTACTTTTTATATGTCTCTTATATTTATTGATTATAGAATGACTTTTACTAAAATTTTGTTTCTAAATCCTGTTTAATATGATATAAACATATGAGTAAAAACAAATGTATAAATAACTTCAAATGAAACCAATACAGTTGAAAGAAAGAAAGTAATGCTTAATATCAATAAATAATTTATTTTCTTTAAGATGTGTTAGTAATATCTGGTTCAAGATGCGTCTTTCTACGTGTAAGAGTTTTAGTATCATCTAATGAGGACGGTAGCTCAGTGTCTTTGGTTTCAGGTAACAAATAACAAAAAATTGTCCCAGACAATGCTAGTACACCAAATATAGCCCCCGCTATGTTCTCTGATAAAGCATTGATTAGGGGAGCTGATATTTGACCAAGTCTTGATAACACTGATAAAATACCTAGCACTGAATTTCTTATTGATGTTGGGAATAATTCCACAGTGTACAATAATACTATCATAAAGGACATAGAAAATAAGCTATTGCAGACACAGGCAAAACTAACCCTGACCCAATGTAAATTTGAAGATATACAAGCAGTTATAATGATAAACATACCAGACAGAAAAATTGTAGACATTAAAAATGTTCTTCTGTTTAAAAGTGGTAATAGAAAAATTGTGACTACAGTCCCTGGTAGTAATAAAACACCAGATATTGCGACGTTTACGTGTATATCGCCACTCATTTTGCCAATGAATTGTGAAACACCGTAATATCCCATACCACATAGGAAATATATAACGGACATGTAAATTAGATGTAATGTAACCTTCTTATGTCTGAATATGTGCAAAAATTTTATCCTATTTCGAGCTCTACTATGATGAGCAGAGTATTCTTCAATTTGCCCTTTTATGTTGTCAATTGGATATCCATTACTGAAAACGGTAGTTTTTTAAATTATCAATTATAGGTACTAATTAAACTAATTTTTATTTTATTTAAACTATTCAGTAAATCAAACCCATTTATAGAATTTTATACTGACAGCTTGCATATTGGTGACAAAAATAACCCTTTAAGATTGATACACCTGACATTTTTGTTATAGACAGTATTTTGTACTGGTGGCAATGTATAAATTAAACAGTAATCTTAATTACAACTTACAATTTTGAAAACTTTTCCATAACAATAACAGATTTGTCAATTTTACCGATGTCCATTAACCATTTAGGGGATTCCATTATCAACCATGGTATTGCTACATACAGTATCACAGGAACCGACAGCGCTAGTTGCAGATCATCACAATTTCGTAGTAAGTATGACAATCCAGGTAACAGTGTATGACTTATATTAATAGGTATATGAAACAAGGCTGTTATAATTTCTCGGTATTTCAAGCCAGTGTATTCTATGCAGAGGACATATGAAGTAACCATTGCTCCCCCAGTACCAATACCTTCAATGGTACGCATGAAGATAAGAGACGTCACATTAGGCATTAGAATTACTAGACACCCAGATATCGACAGAATTAAACAGCTCGTGGAAAACATTGAAAGGCGGCCGTACCTGAAAATAATTTTAGGAGAATTATAAAATAATATTTATATAAAAGACAAAAAGATAACAAAGTACTGCCATTTATAGAGCACCGTTTATTGAGAAAAGCAGTATTTTATTAGGTTTCCGTAGCGAAAGGCTTTTAACCTTTACAATTTCGCCATATCTATCTGTTTGTATTTTTAAGTCAAATTTCAAGGAAACAAAAATAGGGGTGGCTCCTAAACACATGTTACTAAATAAATAAATATAAAAAAAAAATTTTAATATAACATTATTTTAATGTTTCATGCAACACAACCCTTGGTGTGCGCGTGTGGTTGTGTGCAGAAATTTTACCCACTTGTCCGATTTATTGTATCCGTCTTAATGATTGGCGATTTTATGTCTAGTTTTTTTTATATCTAAAATCTAAATAAATCTTAACGTGATATTTTGTCAACAATGTTTTATATTTCCCTCAAAATATATATTTTACCCACACTTTAAATGAGAATAAGAACATTACAAGAATTTAATTAAAGTAATTATATAGTAAACACACCTATCAGACAAGAATCCAAAAACAAACGCGCCAACTAACATTCCAACATAAAGCATGCTCTGCGAGAAGCTAATTAGCCAAATACTTTCGCAAAATAGTCCGAATTTCGTTTGCATTGTTTCACTGAACACACTCCTGTCCCACTGCGGCTGGTCGCATGGACAGGCATTCCATGATAAATTCCCTCCCTCACCCACATCACAACGGTAGTCCATCGGTGGGGAGATGAAGATCAAATTTAGTACATGCCAGAACACAGGTATTTTGCTGGAAAATACTATGGCAAACAAATAATAATGATATTTTGTTATTTTATTGAACTGTTTCTCAATTGGATTATGGAGCTTAGGTATGATTTTGGTCATTTTATAAATGTTAATGATTGAATAAAATCTAGTTGGTCGAAATATAGCAGATAAGTAAACTCTAATATACAATATATTGTTTTATCTATATTCAATATTCATATTTAACATTATAAAATAATAATGTACTAAATATTAATTTTACCGGTTTTCCCTTCAAAAATTCTAATACAAAAAACATTTCCGACGTCGAGTTCGTATAAAAGCCTCTTAAATAATCAAAGTTTGCGGCGAACAACAGAACTTAGGTTTTGAAACTTTGCAGGCCCGTGGTCGGTAAATAGCTTTTGATAGAATAAATCTTAATTAATTTACCGTTCGGTCAGGATCTTATTATTCAATGACATCGAAAGACTTTTAAGATAAAGTAGAATATTAACGAAAATTTAAATACTGAATATACGTGTAAAGTGTGGAATCGGTCACGTTAGCATCATTGGGAACCGATGTCACAGATATATCTGGTGGAATATCTGTGACATTGATAAAATACGTATCGCTATTTGAGTGTGAGTTCTAAGTAAGGCCAAAACAGTTACCGAATTATTCTATTCAGAATTTCTCAGTAACAGTTATCGAGTTGGGAAGCTCATAGTGCGCATTCAATGGTCGCTCTTGCACCTGGTCAAGGCTGGTGAGTGTAAAAATACTCTTTGTTGGTAATATGTGTATGCACATTTGGCTGTAATATGTATCTCCTATGTAATAATCTCAGCGAAATTGGTCGTCGCGACCAAAATTCATATATATTATGCCTGTGTATTAAAAATAGTTTGTTTATTTTACACGTAAATACACAACCTTCTTTTAGATTTTAGAGCATAAACTTCATTTTATTTTAGTTTATTAGTTGATGAGATTACGTAAAATAGATACCTCCTCATATCGACGACCAGTGACGTCTGATCATAATACGGGTAAGTCGCTTACACCTTTTATTTCCTTCAGAGACATAATATGTATATATATCCTATGTCGAAGTATTTTTTAAGCTAACAAATTAATTAACGCTGCATAGTTGCAAGTGTTGAGTATTTTTGCATCAAAATGATTAGTCTGAAGAAGCCCTTGTGTAAGATAGTTGTTAGTTTACGACGAGGACACTAAATTGGAGATTGCAGTGTGTTCGAAAGAGACAGATAGAACACATCAAAAATAAATTATTTGAAAACAATTTATTATACGATTTCCTATGACTAGAATTTAATATTAATATTTAATAGGCATTGCATATAATGGGTATGTGTAATTATATTGTAAAACTAGCGACTCACCCTCCTTTCGCTCGGGTTCGTCAGTAGGTGATTTTTTAAATTGACATAACCTTTTCTTTATGAACTGATTGAAATAAAACAAACACTATATGTTTAGATTAGTGAAAACCGCACCTATATCGATTAAATCGTTTTTGAGATAAGGGTGCACAAAAGCACCGACAAAGAGACAAAAAAATCTAAAAATCATTGTTTTGAGTTCTATTGCTTTAATAAAGACCCCCAATAATAGTTTTTCTCAAATATCTTGCGCAGATAGCGATCAGTTACACTTTTATTTTTTTATATGTATGTGTATAGATATGTATGTGTATAGTTCAAAATTCAATTTCGTTTATAAAAACATAGCTATACATGAAATGCAAAATGAATTTGCAATTAATCTATACATATAATAAAATTGTAACCAAGCCGAGTCTGTACATCAAATATTTTTTGGAAAATCTTATTGAAATAAACATTATTATTGATACAGAGGCCGAATCTATAGTTTTTAAATTTTTTGTCTGTCTGTTACCGCATCACAGAAAAACCACTGGAGGGATTTTAAAGAAACTTGGTATGATGATAGCTGGTTATCCGGGTCAACATATAGGTACTTTTTACTGCGGGAAAATGTCTCATTTCTGAGAAAAAATACAAAAACTGCGATGTAAGAGTATACTAATATGTAAAACCGACGAATTTGGTTTTTGGTCATCTGAACGCGGGCGAAGCCGCGGGCAATGCTAATTTCGATATAAATATCACTACGATAACTAGAATGGTTAACGTATCTTAAGCAATATCTCTAGCATTCGTATAAAAGTATAATTCGCATTGGTGAAATAGGCTATCATTCACAATCTTTATCAAGTGAGTATTCATACGTAAATTTGGGTGGAGGCGAACAGAACGCAATTTAGGGAAAATATTATGTGTTCGGCTATTGGCTTTGGAAACAAAGTTGGAAGCCTTTTGCCTGTAGCTGAAAAATATCATTGAATTTTCTGGGTATAATAGAAGCTACAACATTTTCAAGCAGGTCTTATCTAGATAGACATGTATCAGATTATTTTGACCGTTCATTTAAAATATATTTCTTTACACAAGATAAATTGTAAATGGATCTCTTGAAATATGGAATTTGTTTTTAGTTTTAGTATTGTATTATTTTTAGTATTACCGATCAACTTATCCAACCATATGTTTTATTTTTTTGCCGTAATTATACAATAATTTTATTTTTGATGACACGTTTGGCTCAGTTTGTATGGACCCTACTTACTGTGCCAGCGGTCTCGAGTACAAGTCCCGCTGAGGGCATTCATTTGTGCGATGAGAACTAATGTAATCATGGGTGTTTATATTTTAAATAATAATGTATGTATTTAAAGTTATATATTATGTGTAGTGTATCAACTATATAGTATCCGTAACACAGGCCTCGTATCTTACCATGGAACTAGACGGTGCTGTGTAAATATCCCAACATATTTATTTATTTATTATTATTTATTTTTTAAGTGATATGAGTGATCATAGCATATATATAGCAATAACAAATTAATTTATACATCTTACTTTAATTTTTTTATGCCGCCTTGCTTGTGCTACATCACTAGAATAAAAGTCAAAAAGATAACGCACCTTCGCACTCTCTATACCTTTCACTCTTCAATTTCGATGAGACGATAATTCGACACGACCGGTGAGAGTAGGCGCAGGACCGACAGCTTTACGTGCTCTTCGAGGCACGACGGTGTAACACCGCCAACTTCCCAACTCTGGGCTTTTCTTCCAAACCTGAGGCCTCCGGATGCGCAGCCGTACATGCTAGCCATTACACCACCGAGGCAATTAAAATTACTATATACAGATAGGCTCTTTTTATTTAACACACAGAAAAATAATGAGATTGCGAGACATGAAAGTATGACAAAAAATCTAAGAACTAAACATTCGGCCTCTGTATCGATAATAATATCTATTTTATATAAGATTTTCCATAAAATATATTTTAATGTACAGATTCGGCTTAGTTACAATTTTATTATATTTTGGTTTCTCTTAGTTCAGCAGACACGTGAAAAGTCGATACATCACTTATACACACACGATGATACACGTTTCAGGTTATTAATCTTTTTAGCACGTGGAAGATGTCTTTTACAGTGTACGTATGCTGTTGTGGTTAGTTGTAATAGTTTCTATTTTTTTCTATATTTTATGTTACAAAACAATAATTATAAAATTAATTTCATTTAACTTCCTACAGCTGGGCTTTGAGTTCATTCAATGCAAGGTTCGGCCGTAGTCCATCACCACACTGGCTATGACGGGTCTTAAAAAACTAGCATGTTATTGCAAGCATACAGATGTCCTCGTTAATTTTCTACCACAGTTATGTTGAAAATGTGCTAATACAACAGATAATCAAGTTGAAAAAGACATAAATCTATGAAAATCTCATAATTTCTACCCGAATTTCAAACCCATATCACTTTGTAGGCAAAGTGCGTGTGCGTACAATAGACTATTACTTTACAGCTAAAATAATTAATTACATAAAACAACATAAATGTCAGTAATGATCTATAACCCCTTTACTTCTAGTTCTAGCTACATCGTATTATATTTGTGACATGAATATGTTGAAATAAACATAAGTTTTGGCACTTGTGCATGGGCAAATAAATTGCTTTAGTTTAGGTACAGTAATACGAAAATATATTTCTTAATACAATCTAGCTGGTGTTACCAGTATGCGTGTTTGTTTGTTGTGTGTACCAAATCCTTTACTACAATCTCAGTTTTTAAAAATCACTACGAAGTATAAACCAAAGTCGCTGCCCGCTGTCTGTCTGTCCATATTGTACGCTTAGATCTTTAAAACTTCGCAACGGATTTTGATGCGTTATTTTTAAAAGATAGAGTGATTCAAGAGGAAGGTTTATGTGTATAATACAGCATATTATAGTACAAAAAAGCCGAGAAATTCAAATATTTGTATTTCATACTAACTGTTTAAACGTACCTAGAGACGAACCCGAGCGAAGCGAGGGTGAGTCGCTATTATTGATATAAAATCATATAATATGACTATCCTAAACATAATAATTAAAGTAAAATAAATTCGCGAAACAATTCATTTAGAGTCCTATTTAAAATATTAAATATTCACGTAAATCTAACCTAAATTATTGTTCTTATTCTTTTTTTTACTGGTATATCCGAAAAATAAGTGTGTTTATTTGGATATCTTCCTGCTTTAATGCACCAAAATGGCTTTGACTATTTTTTATTTCTATACACAATGGTTAATTTATACTTTTGTATAATATTGAGAAACGGGAGATTGCGAAAGTGAAATTAAAGTATTTTAAAAGAATATGAGCTGCTATATCTTAAAATAATATAGTTATGCAGTTATGGAGTCTAAGCACATCCCACTTTATACTTCTTTTTAAACTTGAATACTGATAATTAATCTACCGCGCAGTTGCGATTGCAACCAAAACCTATACAGGTTGTTGGGTGCTGTAACCATGATCTCGGTTATGATTGCCTCCTTCGTTAGGTTAGATGTTCAAGTAA